GGGGAGGGAAAGAAGCCGATGATACAGACGTTACCTGGGAAGTCATGCCCACGAAATGCGGCTGCTGCGCTCTAAAAGGATGTGTAGCTCTTCACACCTAAGTCAATGCACAAAATCTATATAATTTCCATATTACTGTTCCCATAACCAAACCTCGACTCCTCGTCCCACAGGTACCATGAGCTTCTCTCTGTTTCCACCTTGTTAAGCCTACAGCAATTCCAGACCCTTGGGTACCCAAAAGAAACAACACAAACAAGCCTCTGTCTTAATAATTTACATCACAAACTGAAACAACATTCTCAGCTTTAAATAAAAATGGCATTTCCTGGCCTATTTCATGTGTTTTTTTTTAGACGAACAGCGCACTTCTGGAGTCAACCATAGTCAAACCAGTTATCCTCAGCTCACCGCACCGCAGGGCGGCCGAGCGGCTGCTGCTCTGTGCCAGAGGGTTTGCACACGCAGCACCGACAGCCTCAGCCTGCGCCTGGAGTCGATAGACATTTCTGTAGGAAACAGCCCCGGGGCAAAGTGCTTCCCACTACATTTATCCCCACCACGGTGCAATCATCTGCCGGGGATCATTTCCAAGCACACCCTCTCCAAGCTCCCAGGAGAGGCCGGGTACAGCAGGAGTTTAGACCCAGCACTTTTAGAAAGCAAAGGGCCCTCCCGGGAAGCCCGGGGACACACGCGCACCCTGCCAGCACCCACGCGGTGGTTGCCTTCAGGGAAGGATGGTTTGCAGGGGCACAGAGCCGGCAAGGACCGGCCAGGGACCAGCAGCTGCAGACATGCAGCAAGCCAGGAAACCTTTAAGGCACAGAGGAGGAGGGAGAGGTTCAAAGGGCACAAGTGACAGCAAAGCAGCGGGTGCTGCACGCTGTGCTGGCAGCGGTCCGTTCAGCACCTCCATGGCTGGCATTTGCTGAATTATGTAACCATTTAAAAAAACAGATTTTTTTTTTTTTTTTTAAATATTTTATGAGTAAATCATGTTGGATCTGTCACTGTATTGAGATAAGACCCTTGTTTCAACCAACAAGTGTACGTAACGAGGCATGGAGCAACACATGCATGCACAGTGTAAAATATGATGTGACGAGTCAGGGGGACGGGACATTTCACTGCAAAAGAAATTTGGCCTTCATTTAGACAGAAACTGTCATGAACTGAAATTGTCACATCTTTGCAAAAGTATTGCCCACTGGTCCCTGTTACTATGGGGCTGTTTGTTTATTGCACTTATTCCCATTGCTGGTTCACAAGGAACTCTTGGGCTTCACAGAAAATGCTTTATTGCTTGCACTTTCACACACTTGCTCTTATACACACACTCACTCACTGGAAAAAAGCAAAGGTAAACCATCCAGCCTTATCAAATGCTGCTTGGAGCAGCGTAACCTTGCTGAATTCTGCGCTAGCAGCCCATTTAGCTCTGTCAGTGTTTGCACCCAGCTTGCCTTTAGTGAGGTGAAAAAAAGGCAGGATCCAGGACACCAACAATTAAGTAGATCACTGGCGGAGGGTTTTTTAACGTCCTGGTGGAGGAGGCTCCCCATGCAGGCATCCTCTGTGCCGATACAAACCCGCGCTGGGCCCTCGCAGGGAGGCGGCTGCTGCCTCGGGACCCAAGCCGCTGCGGTGCCTCTCGCCCTGCCCACGGCCACGGCTTTGCGCTCTGCTGCGGTTCCAGCTGGCTTGTTCTCCTGAGCCTGTAGCCTGGTGTTTCTGGAAAAAGCCTCTTTACCTCTTAGGAACTGGTTCCTTCCTTCCAAGCTGTGCAGAAGAGATTGGAAGTGTGGGCACAAAGTATTTAACCGGCGCAACCCAAAGGAGGCTATACAGTGTTTAGAGCTGTATTTTTTTAAAATATATATTTTGTAGTCCATTTGCAATCACTGTTAGTTTTGTGCTTTGGAAGGGAGCACAGGAGAATCACCTTTTTTTGGCCCATCAGGACCATTTGTGCAGGTTGGAGCATGACTAACGGTGGCACAAACCAGCCAGACCCGCTGCATCCCCTCGCAGACTGAGCAAACACGGACAGGGCTGGGGCCCCTCCCAAAGCTCACGCAAGTCTGCCTGGCAGAACCCCCCCCCCAGGGGCAGCCCGGACCATGTCTACCACCCTTTGAGTGCAGTGCAGACCCAGTACTATCTCCTGAAACAAGAGGGCTGTAGGACATCCAGTCTGTTCAAGAGTGTTTCCTACTGTCTGCCAGTTCAGGCGGGGCAGCGTCATCGTGCTTGTTAACCTCTGCGTGTAAAAGGCACGTACTGCGAGTCCTCCGGTAGCCAGGTGCTAACCCTGCACAGCTGACGACTCTTGCCGATTCAAACCTCGCCTCCAGAAGCCCAAGCAGCAGCATGGAAACACAGCCAGATAGGTAAAGAGAAGCAGAGAAACTGTCACGCAAAAATAATTTATTTTTTTTAAATTGTATGCAGGGGTGGTTTGTTTCAAGTACAGAGAATATGTCAAAGCAAAGAACGACGTTCTCCACTTCACTGCTTGTTCTCGGTTACTCAGTGCATTGCTTAAGCTTTTGATCGGTTGTGCAAACTATGAATTTTGCCCAGCCAGGCAGTGGCGGACAGTTCTGCTGAGTTGCAAGGCAGAGAGCCTGGTATGGTTGGAAATCAGTTAGTGGGGATCCTCATGGTGCCAATTCTGGAATATCTTTAGGAATGGTAGGGATGACAGTCACACAGCCCACCCAAGGCAAGGCTACCTTAACGTAAGCAATTTTCCTAAGGCTATAAAAAGGGGACCTGCCCAGTTCTGCATAAATGCCAACCGGAACAAAGCAAAGCAGAGTCCAAAGTTAACCAATGTAAAAATTAGTAACTAATTATTAATTAGGAACTAATCTTGAAGTGAAAAATATTTTTTATTTGAAAGTGCAAAGAGAAAAAGAAGACATTACGCTATACAGTAGTTGATATTTTTTTATCCTCTCTCTCACAAAAAAAAAGGGGGGGGAACTAAATTCAAAACACTCTGAAACTTAAAACTTCTAAATTTTGAGCTAGAAATTCTATGAAATGCACATTTCTGCAAATGTTACAAGAAAACTCACGGAGTTGTATTAACTATCATATAAATTGTTCTGTTCTAGAGCACGGACTAGAGGAGACACTGGAAGATATGGTTAGCTCACACTTGGGGAAATATCTTCATGATGGCTGCAGGTGGAAGTCATGGCCGTCGTTTCTCCCTAAGAAAAATAATCACAGAGATATGAAAGGATGAACACTGCAAGAAAGTGACAGATCAGAAGGTTCGTACCTACAAGAGCGAGGGCTCACAGTTAGGGCATATTTTTGGCAATGCCACCCTGCTGGCTAGTTCAGGAGAAAGATGCAAATAAGTCTTAAAACCTCCATCCCCACCGCCATGGAGGGCCCTGCTCAGCCGCCGCCTAGGCTCCCTCCGCCCCGCGAGTACCTGGGGAGTATTTGGCTTTCGCCTGGTTGATGACTGGGTACTGCAGGGGCGTTATGATGCCTTGGTCGGGTTTCTGGAAGGCTGAAATGAGGTTGTGCACTTTCCGAAAGAGCCGCCGGTGGACCCCGGGCGCTGTCTGTGAAGCCAAAGGGTGAGAGGTGAGAGGGGATGCTGGGCGCCAAGCGTCTGTGCCAGGCTTGGGGTGCTGGCACGCAAGCCTTGTCCTCAGAAACACACACACCCCCCAGGGAAGGAGCCAGCTCTTCACTCGGACCCCTTGAAGTGCCAACTTAGCGTAAGTCAACGAGCTGTAATGCTCTCCTCTTTCCCCCGGGGCATTGCGGAGCCGTTTCCAGCAGTGTGGTCACATAAGGCTGGAAGAGGGACGATTTCTTAATCACTACAAGAGAAACCCAGAGCCTGCCGTGCTTGTTAGGCAAATTCCCAAGTGATCTTTTGCTATTTCTGGCCCTGATTTATTGCAGCCAGTGATTTAACCTCCAGCCTGGGGTTTATCAGTAAGATACTTCCAGCCTGGAAATACCAGTTAAGACAATCTAGAGAGCTACCTGGCACTTACCGGGGAGGGGGGGAGTCCTTACACCACTAAATTCACGCATGGACACAGCCTCTTTGCAAGCCTTTCCCTGGCTTAGGTGTTCATTGAGTATTCCTATCTCTTGTACAAAGGCAGCAGCAAAATGTTACCTATTTATTAAAAGTGGGAGTTTTTCTATCTTTCTACGTTAGCATCTTTTCAAACACTGTGAAATGAAACTGTCTGCTTTTAATCAAAAATCCAATGTTTCTGTTAAATCCTTCAGGGCATTCTCGTAATGACTCCTCCCCACCGAAGTCGTGGGAGGACAAGCACAGGTCCACCCAAGGGACGCGGCTCTCGCCCAGCAGCCGTGGGCTGAGCCCTGCCTCACCGGCACCGGCTGGAGGCTTCGCACTGGCTGGGATTTTACCAGCACTGTTTTAATTTCCCTGCCTCGTCCTTGAAAGATGGGTGCGACCTGAGCTTGCTCAGAGACTAACCAGCCACAGGGAAGGAAGCAGAAACAGGAAAGCACCAGCTGCAGCTGGAGCCTGTTTTGGCCTCGGAGGCACATTTTGTGGGGATAAGTTGGATTTAGGCAGCTGTTTCTAACAGCTGAGGCCAGCGTGGTCTTAGCAACATTTACTTAAAGGTTTCTGTTTGCTTAAAGGAAGGGCTGGTGTCATGGGTCTGTGGCTAGCACCTTTCCCTGCAGAGGATGTATTGAGAGTCCTGGGCCTTCAGGACACCTACGCTGTGAAACACAAATAGGGTTTGCCTAAAACACAGCGAGGGAAAGCCAAAGACCCATACATAGGAAGCCCGTGGAGGTCATGGGGAAAAGAGTTGTAGCCGGCCTATAGAACAGCAGAAAAACCTCACTGCAGACGCTGACATTACCTGGGGCCAAAGCAGGCTGCAGCCTCACCCAGGGAATTATCTTCCACAGGTGGAGGTCCCTGGCGGTCCTGGCATCCTTCCTGAGACACCTGTGCTCGCCCTGGCACGCCAGGTGCACCACCACCCGCACCCCACCCCAAAAACCCTCCTGTTTGGGCAGTGCAAATCTGCAGGATGCCCTACAGGAACAAATGAGCAAATTCTTCCTGGGTACCATTCCCAAGGGCGACACATAATTATTTGCTCTGCAGTAATGTGAGTCACTTTTACTCCCTGATCTGCTTCTGAGTAACCCCAGGAATCAGTCTTGTCTTCCAGAGCACTGCAGCCACTTCTATTATAGTAATGGCCAAGGAATTATGCCTGTCTAGAAATTATTTAATGTTTGTAATCAGTGCTCATTAACGTGCAAACAGAAAGCTAATTATGAATTAATACACAGAGTACATCCAAAGAACAAGACCTTCATAAAAGAAATACAGGTTAGCATCCCGATTCCATCAACCCCAATAGTTGTCTGTATTGCAAATGGTGTTACTCTACACTTGAATTACCAGTTTCTTATCATCTGGGTGAAAATATATTTTGTATCAAGTTTTGGCTACCCTATATATGTTTTGCACCAATGATGAATTAATCTGGAGAGCAATTAACTTTAAAACACTGTAGATTGAAAAAAAATTCCTTAAATATTGACGTTAATGGTACGTGGCATAGAAGGGAACTGATTGTGCTTGTCAAATTATAAAAACACAATATTTTTGCCATTTTAAATGATGCAAAAGAATGCACTATTGCATTATGCAACAGCTGAAATGTAACAAGGAATTAATTTATGAGTTCAAGACTGCCAGAAGTGGCACCAAGACATCTTAGTGATGGGTGCACTCAAGATCGATTACCTTCGATGAAAATCAGGCTGTGCAGAAACACGAATAATTTGAATATATTTCATTAAATCAATACGAACATCAAACAGGATGTAGAAATTTTCAGAAGAGAAAGGAGAAGTACACACCTCAGCACTCCAGGATCCAGTTTCTGTCCTGGATACTCTGTAGGTATAAACATAACCCTGATGCCTGTGGGGAAAAGAAAAAAAAAAAAAAATCAACAGGTATTTATTACTCATTTCTATTGTCAGGTTTCACAAGAGGTGCACTGTGTTACGTGGGAGTCAGTTCATCTGCTAACCTTCCCTTTAAAATAAACTCACCCATAAAGGCTCTAGGTAGATAAAAAAACTGAGACACAGGTCAGAAGCAGTGTTCAACCTACTGGATTCTTTTTGGATTGGTCTGACTCAGATCTAGTTTAGCAATATTCAGTTATTCTAGGTTAAGTGACGTTGCTTTCATTCCTGCCTCAGCATTTTTTTTTTTTTTCAGTGACCTGCTTTTACTGACACACACCAGACATACTTTCCCTGGAAAAAGAAGGTGTATTATTGGCAGGTAGCATTACTGTATCGTGATTGATTTAAATGCAGATGTTCCCAGAATCAATAGCATCAGTATAATTTATTTGGAAAGCTAGACCCACAAAAGCGAGGTAAATTGCTCTTTGCCTTGCCCGTACATTTCTAATTCTCAAATACTGATAAAGGAGACATACAGGAGTGTGGAATGTTCCTTCTTTTTAAATCTAATTTGAGTCTTTTGAGAATAAGGAGTCATACGCTAATAACACAAGACATACTCATGTCCAGAGTCAGTCTTGGTTCTCTTACAAACCCAACACAGTGAATGATTTACATGGTAGATTATTATACTGATATCCAAAAGTTTAACTCAGAAGCAGAGACAATTGACGGTAGTTCTGTGGGTGCAACATTAGTTTAGATGGTATCAGATAAGAAAATTGTATTTCATACTACATAGATCTACATGAATACATAGCAGGATTTTAGGGACCATTCCCTATTTCAGCATCAATTCTTATTCTTAAGACAGCAGAAAAATACTATATTTCTTTCCAATTATACATGGTTTTATAGTAGTTACTACAAAATAGCAGAAACCATCAATGACACAGATACCATATGATTGCAATTACTTACGCTCTGTGTCATGGCTCCTGGATAAATTCTTGTTAAAAAGTCATTACAGCAACCTTTGCAAAGCGGTGTCTGATATAATTTACCCAAGTAAGAAGTTGTTAACAGTTGTCATACTGCTACAACCCCACGAAGTGGGAGCAAAAATGCCTGTCGTGATTTGTGAGCTCTCCCCCCACCACTTGACTCCCACTGTGATTAAATACGGAGGCGGAAGGCACAAAGCCGTTCCCTCCCGTCAGGCTGCTGCAGGGACAATCTCCCTGTGCAGCAGCTGAGACACTGCCCTCCTCCTCATCTATGGGAATATGCCTGACGCAGCCCCACGATCCCACCACAACTTCATCCACCTCTTCATGCTAACCAAGGGACAGTTTTCCCCAGAGACACGACTTTCCACCTGGCACCAGGTGGACATGAAAAGTGGCTGGCCACGCTTGCTTCATGGAAACCTAAGGAGGAAAACAGCCGCCGCTACCCCGCTTCTTCCCCCAGCAAGCTCAAGTGCTGCAGTCTGTCAGAGATTTGGATGGGCCCAGAAGGGGCCCTTGGGAAGAGGCATAAGCAACCTGCTGTGGCTGTGGGAGGAGGGAAGGACATGGAAGGACAACACTGTTCTCCTGTCCGTGCCATGGCACCACGGTCACTGGTGTTTGAGGCCAAAGCTCAATCCCAGTCGCTTAAAAGCACATCCCTCTAAGCCACTAGATATGTTCATATTCAGGGAATCCGATGTCTCCATTAAGGTCCTTAGACAATCTCGTACCATCACATCCTTTCTTAAAACCTCTGAGAGCTGTGCCTGTATTGTCAGCGTTTCATGAGTAGCTGATGTTCACATTAATCTTTTCTTTTTAGAAATCACGAAGGGGCTTTCCTGCACCTACGTATGTAGCACACCAGACAATATATGGTTACTGAAACTAGGATTTTATAGGCCATAGTGTACTGGGAAACACCAGAGAGGTCCTGGCATTTTGTCCCCTCTCTTTGAAGTGGGTATTTGACATTCTTCACAGCAATTCTTTTTCAAGCCTCAAAACCAACAGAATCGGTATGTAAAAATCTAAAACTCACTCTCTTGCCTCCTGTTTTTAATAATACACTGTGCATATTACCCATGCTTGTTCTTGGTTGTCCCAAAGCATTCTGACTGCTTCAGTCTCTTTAAAATCTGATCTTTCCACAAATGGCTCAGTTGTCTGGAAAGCTACCATCTGTTGTTTCTTTCATCATTTGCTCTACCCAAGAGATTGCATGACTTGAAGTGGTTGAGGGGCTGAGGTGCTGCCCTGACTCTGACATGTCTGATGGTTTTCAGCACTCTGCCAGAAGGGTTTACTAAGCTGGACAAATTGAAAAATAGAGGTCAGACAAAGTAATATTCAGGGCCAAAGCAGGGTAAGGTATAAGACACACACCTATCCTGCATTTTTCAAAAAACTCTACTGTAAAATATTTCAACCGTACCCAGAGAAAGCACGAAGGATAGCTCAGATTAAAAACCCACAAGATACAGAAAAAGGAACAAGAATTTGGGAACACGGACACTTTGAGCACAGCATGGAGAATGGGAGGAGCATGACGTTGCTATCACAGCCTTGCAAAGGACAAGTGCCACTCACCTGGCAAATGTACTTTTTTTTTTTCCCAGAGGAGGAAAGACTGAAAGGCCTGAAGGGGTTCACTGTGCTTAAGCTGAAAAACATGTTATCGTCCATTGTTGGCTCTGATGCCATCAGTAAACACAGGCACTATGTAGATGGGAGATGGCCTAGGACCACCACACCTGCTTCTTCAAAGGAAATGCACAGAGGAAGGAGGACGCATTTTGTTAAGAAGGTGAACAGCTAGGTCTTCCCATCTAACTGCTTTCCACTGGGATCTTTGTTTCCGCAAAATTACAGCTCTTCTGATGAGTACTCTCCCAACGAATACTATCTCATCAAAACTTTCTGTTAAGCAGCAGGAACTTGGTTCATTACCACTTCAAAGTGCTTTTTACCTCCCATGTGCAAGTGACAAGATTTTTGATGAGCCAAGTTCTCTTTACTGCTACACGGACAGAGCCTCCCGTGAGAAAGGTTTTTATGATTTAAACTACCCAACATTAAATGACATCAGCGTGGACTGAAGGAAGATCAAGGTGGTTTTCTTAGAACAAAAATTAAATACAAAAAATTAAAATTGAGATTGTATGGAACATTACCTTCCAAAGAGCAAAACATGTAACACCAGGCAAAAGCAGGTGGAAAAGTGCATTTACTGGAGCTTAGGTCTGAGGAGATGAGAAATTCCCCAGCCATCATGAGGGGACAGCTCAGTTTTCTACCTTTTACTCAATTCACGGCAGAAAAAAGCTCCTACTGTGACACAATGTTCCTATATATGGTGTGGCCATGTGGCTAAAGCCAAAACCCAAACACCATGTGGCCTGGACATGGTGCTAGTCACTTGGGGCCTCTCACACACCTTATGCTTTGAAGCTATTACCTGGTGTCCTGCTTTCGGCTGAGATAGAGTTAATTTTCTTCCTAGTAGCAGGCATAGTGCTGTGTTTTGGATTTAGGATGAGAATAACGCTGATAACACGCTGATGTTTTAGTTGTTGCTGAGTACTGCTTATGCTAGTCAAGGGCTTTTCAGCTTCCCATGCTCTGCCAGGTGCACAAGAAACTGGGAGG